CTGAGTCCAGCTGGAGACACTGGATGCAATTTCAATGAAAAATAAATTTCACTTCAGTTTTCACCTCATTTCTTAGTTTTCACTTTAATTGCTTAAACTTGTGCTGCACATGAACATAAAACTCCTGTGCACCAGCAACATGCACAAACTCTCTTCTTACACCAGTCATTGTATGTTTCAGGTGGTCACAAAACCCACATGAGAAACACTGAACCACTGCACAGCTGCAGAACTCTGACCATCGTTTCTCATCTGATGCTGACTCAGTTTCCAGTCAAACGCTCTTTTCAGCCTCAGCCGGTGGATCAGAGCGCAGCTCCGCGCTTGTTGCTCGGACATTTTCTCTAGTCAGCTGAGGACGTGCTGTGTTCTCTCTGCAGTTTTTTTTTTTTTTTTTTTTTTTGATGCAGAGGAGAGAGGCGGGCCGGGCTGGGCCGGGCCGGGCCGGACTAGGCTCGGCTCATATGGCTTCATGTGATCCTGCAGGGAGGCGTTTAGAGGGGAAAAAGGAGTTTTTCACCATCCGGGCTGCAGCATTTGAGAGCTGACGGTCTCTCTCTTCTCCTCGGAGCTACATTTTTCCTTTTTTTCTGCTTCTTTTTTCCCCCTCCTTCCTCTGTTCGGATATTTGCAGCAGTTGTGCGGCTCAGTCCGGACAGCGACGCGCTGCAGCTGCCACCATGGGAGACGCTCAGTCTGCGCAACGGGACGCAAAGAGGGATGCGGAGCAGAGCGGAGCAGGAGAGGATGCTGAGGCTGAGCACAGCCCCGAGGACAAGGTAGCAGCCACAGATCACACTCCTGCCTTCATGCACCAGTGATGGCTCGTTACACTGACAGACATCTGCTGGTTTCTGAGAGCAGCCGGTGGATGTTGGGAGATGTAAGATGCTGAGCTCGGGTCTCTGTTGTTGTCATGCAGGTGCTGCCAAAACATCCATTAAAGCAGGACTGAACTAAAAGTCCTTGTCCTTCTGATGGATGACAGAGCCACGCTGTGACACTGGCTTTAATCAAACTGAAAACATCCACACAGACTTGCTTTTGTCAGCTTTCTCATGACAGGAGGCAGTTTTTACTGTTACTAGGTGCAAAATGAAGCTTTTTAAAACAGTTTCTAACTAATGTTTTTAAAACAATTTTCTGTGATTTAACAGATTTTCCCTGTTTTGTTGAAGGACAGATAATAATAACTAGTAAAATCAATGCAAGTAAAGCACTCATTTAAATATTAACCCTTAAAAAAACAGACCAAAACTGTAAATAATCCATATTTTTGCAAATAGTATTTAGTTCTTTTACAATGTTTGGCTGTAAAACTGCACTTTTTTCTTTTTCTTTTCTTTTTCTTTTTTTTTTTTTTACTGTATTAAAAGAAGCAAAAGGATAGGACTATTTAAGCTATATTTGAAAGAAAAAAAATATGTATTTAAGGACTGAAAAATCCCTTTTTATTGTCATTACTAAGTTACTAAGTTTCACCATTCTGTTAAATTACAGATAATACACAGAAAAATTACAGAAAAAACAAGTATTAATTTGAATGTTAACTCAAGCAGGCCAAAACTGTAAATAATATTCAAATGGGAAATCTGTAATTTTACATTTTGTAATTTGCTCTTTAACAACATTTGGCTGTAAGATTGCTCTACTTTTTTATTGTATTAAAAAAAAAAGTAATTATTTATAAATTTGTGCTGTTATTTGAAAGAAAAATTATACATATCTGTCTAAATCATAGGAAAAAAGTATTAGTTTACATTATAACTGTGAAACAAACAGACCAAAACTTGAAGTAATGTCTATTTTGTTGTTACAGTGTTAAACTCAGCAAAGGAATGTAACTGTTGTACAGATATTTACAATAATTTGAAAGGATAATCATGTATACTAAGAATTAAACAATGGTAAGTCATGTTTTAGCATTATTTTTACAGTTCCCTGTTTTGTTAAATTACAGACAATATCTACTAAAATGTCATGATTTACGTGGTGACTGCAAAAAGAAAAAAAACAACAACAAAAACAGGATTAAACCGTCAATAATGTCTACATAAAACCTATATTAGTAGTTGTGCTTTGAAAATGTGTAATTATCAAAATTACTGTTTTACTGGATTTAAATTGGCCAAAAATCAGATTACATTCCAAATATTTGCTGTTATTTTTACCTTTTGGACACTTTTTGAATGTCCACTGTGTTTTTTCTGACACTCTTGCTGACAATTTTTTTTTGTTTTTCATAGATTTATTTTTTTTTTTTTTACAGTGTAGTAAACCAATGTCTTCCTAGCAACACAAAACTGTTGTGGAACATTTCTCCCATTTATCAAAACTTGACAAAACAGCTGCATCAAACACTGGCTGCTGGCTTTTTGCTGTAACAGTGTGAGGCTAGTTTTACTCTTGTGAAGATTCTGATTTCATCGTTCCATTTCTGTTGCCATAGTTTGCATTTACTGGAGATGAAAAAGGAAACTGAGCGGGGGAACAATAATAATAATAATAATGACCTTTCATTCTTGGAGGAACCCAAGTAAAGCCCAGGGGAGGGATGGAATTTCCCCTCCGCTGCACTCAGCAGAAGCTACATTGATTATTTGTGTACGACATCATCACCAGGTCAGACTGAGCAGGAAGTCAATTAGACGGCATTGTCCTGCCAGAGCCAGAAGAACTGTTAATGCCTTTTACTCCGGATGTAGTGTGTTGATTTTGTGATATATGTGACTTTGGGTGATGTAAGAAATAATTCACTTGCAAGTTTTTAAAAAAGCAAAAGTATTCCTCCCATCCCTGTGATATTTTCACCCTCTTAGTTCACTTGTATTGAACAACACTCTCTTTTGAATAAACCTTACAGTATCGCTCTCTTCGGCTCCAGATCGCTAAAAACAAAGAGATGCCTGTTCACAACCTGTAACGCAGGTCAGATGTGTGCATGTAAAACCGTGAAAACATGTTCACCGGAGGATTCGTTTAGCCTGTAATCACATTAAGGAGTTTGATCTTTTCACATGCATCCATGCCTGAATTCAGAGTGCTTGTTTCTTTACTAAGTCCGGCTCCTGGTTTGCATTTAATTTAGCATAATTAAGCTATACTATTATGCATTTAAAAATAGAAATTCTAGCTTTAAATACCACTTCATGCGTGTAATGAAGTGCCAAGTCATGCTAAATGTGTTGTTTACGGGTGAAAAACGGCCCTAACTGCTATTTCTGTTCTTCTTTATTCAGTGAATTACTGCACCCTAGTTGAAAGACATTAGTTTCTTGTTCCTTAACACCTTCTCAGACTTTCCCGATTAATCCGCCTCACGGATTTGAGACTGGAACAATTAGATTTGGTAGCTGTAAGGCTGCCATCAGCCCAAAGCAACAGTAACTGGACTGTATTACTTGTTTACAAATTAGGGCTTTGGAGCTCCAGATAATCACAGATGGAAATTCTTTCTTTCTCCTCATAGAAATTAATTGTTCTCTTGCTATGAGACAATGGTCCCTGTTTTGCATTTCTTTTCTGTTAATTGCAGCAAATTCTTGTATGATTCCTTTCTGTCATTTGGGAATGGTTACAACTGGCTGCTAAAACACTGATTTCTATTATTTGAGCTCAGTTTTGTGTTCTGTTTCAGCCTCTCGAAAATAAAGAGCCGATCTCTGAGATCAATGGAAAAGCAGCCGGCTCATTAGCAGGATTTAATGTTCACAGTGAGGATGCTGCAGAAGGTGGGTATTCAGAATCTGTATATTACTGCTTATTGTGTTGGAATAATTTCAACAGAAGCATGACTAGTTGGATTTCAGCTGAGAGAGCCTGAGCTGTCTGTTTCAGTTCTTGCAATCGAAGTGTTTTAATAATTAATTTCTCTTCTGGTTTAGGTATACCTTCTCCAGACAAAGATGTTTCAGATGTTGAAATTAACGCAAAGAAACTAGCTGATGAAGACGAAGAAGTACCCGTAAAAATGATCGAAATGGAGGCGAAGCAGAATGAGATCAACGAAAGTTTCAGGAGATTTTTCAGCAACATCGGTTTGAAGCTGACAGTAAAGAAAGGGTCTGCTGAAAAAGATGAAATACAAGTGCCTGGGGAAGAACCAAACAAACAAGAAGACATCAAAGATACTGCAAAGGAAACCAAAAGTGAGAACGGCAAGCAGAATAAGGATCTAAATGCAGCTCAGGAGGGTTACGACAACGATTCTACAACGGGTCCGACAATGACTGAAGGCACATCGGAGGATTTTCTAGCAAATGCAGAGGAGAAAACAACAGAAACCAAAAAGGAAGCTGATTCTAATAAAGCAGACGCAGCATCAACTTCATATGCAAGTGAAGGTGGACACCAGGAAGCAGCAACTGAAGAGGTGGTCGCATCTCCATTCAAACGTTTTTTTAAAACTGGAATATTTTCTGGTATACGGAGGAAAAGAAAAGAACCAGCTGAGAAAGAACTGGTAGATATGGGCAAAAAGGAGGGTATGGAGACGATGGAACAAACTGTACAAGACCAACAACAGGATAAGGAGGAGGTTGAAGTTTGGAAAGAACTTCAGGAAATCAAACCTAAAGATGAGGCCATGTCTGCAGCATCAGCTCAGACAACAGATGAAGCAAAATCACCTTCCACGGATCCATCAGCCATTATTGTGACTGAGTCTGAAATTCTGAGCTCTCAAGAAAAAGTTCAAGCCAGTCCCATGAAAAGGCTCCTGTCAGGGTCTAGTTTGAAGAGGCGCTCCAAAAAGCAGAGAGGCAGAAAGTTAAGTGATGGAAAGCTGTCTGACTCTGGAGAACACAGTTCTGATAATTTCATGTCGTCTACAGAGTCGGCTGACAATCCGAGAGAGGACAGTTCTCCACAATCCTCCACAGAGGCGACAGGAGAGGAGGACGGTCCGTGGGCCTCCTTCAAAAAACTTATGACTCCGAAAAAACGTGCGAAGGGGTCCTCCTCAGGCCCCGAAGAGGCACAAGGACATGAAGCAAAACCAAGTGAGGGAGAACAAGCATCAGATCAAAGCGCAGAAGAAGGAAGAAAGAGAAAAGATTCATCAGTGTCATGGGAAGCCGTTTTGTGCGGATCTGGAAGGAGAAGAAGCCGGAAAACATCAGACTCTGAGGATGAAGCGCCTCAAAATGATGATGCCGACAACAAACAAGACAGTGGAACTAAACAGGGTACAGAAACACCTCTCGAAAGTTCTAATGAGGTCCACGAGGATCTAGCATCACCCCTTAAACAAGCAGGAAGTCCTCCGGAGGGCGATGGAGGGTCAACATGGAAATCATTTAAAAAACTTGTCACCCCCAAAAGGAAAGCCAAGGACGAGAATGAAAGCAGAGACAACATACACTCTGATAGTGAAATTACTCAGGATGATTCCTCCTTTTCAATAAAGAAACTCCTACCAGGACGAAAAAAGAGAAAGTCCGATGAGAGGCAAGACCAAGTATCTTCAGACGAGGCTGAGAAGGAAGCAGCTTCAGGTGATGAAGACTCTGAAACACCAGCTGTGGTTCCGTTGTCAGAGTTTGAAACAGCTGAGACAGGAGTTCAAATACAAACACAGGCAGACATAGAAAGTTACGCACCAAAGGAATTAGAGGATAAACTGCAGCAGGACCTCCCTCATGACAAGGCTGAGCCAGTCATTCCTTGTGATAATCAGCAAATTGAAGCAGAGAAAGTCCCGAAAAAGGAGGAAGCATTAAAGAGTGAAGGTTCTACAGCCCCTGGGACAGACGAAGAAGCAGACGAGGACTCGATCAGTAAACATCAACAACTCAGTGACATTACGGAGGAGGGTGCCATTACAGATACTATGGCCACTCCAGCGTCAACCAACGAAGAGGCAGCGAGAGATGACACCATAGCAGAGGACCTGATTGAGATCACATCTGAGGCCATAACTGCTCCAGAACCTGTAGATGTTACCCTGGCAGATGAGACTGAGATGATCTCTGCAGTTTCTCAGTTATCAGAGTCTTCAAAAACCTCTGGAAACACAACACCAGTCCCAACAGAACACGATGACAAGGATACAGAGTTGTTACTGCAGAATGTCGCTGAAAACATCTCAAAGAGTCCAGAGGCAGCCCCAGTGTGTTCAGAACAACCAAGTTCTGAAAGAATAGTTGGTTCAGACGCACCCATAGAACTTGCAGCAACAGCCCAAACAGAGAGTGTATCTGACGCCAACGACGCTATGTCAACGGATATTGTATCTGAGGTTCCTACCGAGGAGTTTAACACTGCTGAGATAACTGTAGATGACGCCTATAAGGAGGATGTCTCACAATTACAAGACACCATTAGTGAATTAGAGGCTACTGATGATAGTCAACATCTTATGGAATGTGTCTCTGAGGTAAATGAAGCAGTGTCTGCAGAGGCACTACCTAAAGATGAAGAAGTTGTCCCAGATTCTATTGCTGGGGCAGACGAAGCTGAAATCTCAAAAACTGCCTCCCAAGATGCAGAATCAGCTGCTTTAGTAGCAGATGGAACTAAGGACGGAGTTATGGAGCAGGAAAACCAAATTCTGGCAGAAAAGGAAGATCAGGTCCTAGAAAATGTCCCTGAGCAAGTTTCAGTTGAGGATCAACCACCTGTAGTGGCAGACGAGCAGGAAGCTCTAACAACTGACACATTAGTTTCAGAGAAGGATAGTGTTCACTCACCTAAAAAGGACGTCCCATTCTCAGAGGACATTTTATCAGAAGAAAAAGTTTCTGATGAACCCAAAGAGATAGCAGAACATCTCACTGAAGTAACTGATGAGCCAGAAAACAAAGAACCACAAACTGAGGCCCCTAAAATTGACCAACATGTTACAGAAGTTGTACAAGAAGCAGTAGTGGATGCAGAAGAGGGTAGTGTTCAGTCACTTGAAAAAGAAGTAACATCAGAAGAAGTTCCACCAGAAGAAATAGTTAAGGATAAAGCAAACGACGAAACAGTACCTCCAGCTAAAGTTAGTGCTGAGCAAGTGGACGCCTCTAAAACTGAACCTATTCAAGAACCAGAGGCATTACAAGGTGTACAAGCCACCACATTAGACTCAGAAGCAGGCAGCCCCGAAACACTTCTGCCAGAAGAAACGGTGAGAGATGAACCTCAAGAGGATATGGTACCTTTTCCTGAAGTTGAAGTTAAGCTATTTGATTCGTCCAAAACAAAGCATATTCAAGAACCAGAAGTGTTAGAAGCCGCTACATTAGATTCAGAAGCAGGCAGCCGTGACACAATTCAACCAGCAGAAACAGTGAGCGATGAACCCAAAGAGGAAACAGTACCTTCTCCTGAGGTTGAAGTTAAGCTAGTGGATGCTTCCAAAAACGAGCATATTCAAGAAGTGTTGCAAGCCGCTACATTAGATTCAGAAGCAGGCAGCCGCGACACAATTCAACCAGCAGAAACAGTGAGAGACGAACCCAAAGAGAAAACAGTACCTTCTCCTGAAGTTGAAGTTAAGCTAGTGGATGCTTCCAAAACCGAGCATATTCAAGAACCAGAAGTGTTGCAAGCCGCTACATTAGATTCGGAAGTAAGCAGCTCTGAATCAAATGCTAAAGAAGTAATATCAGAGGATATTCCATCAGAAGGAACACTGAGAGCTGAACCCAAAGTGGAACCAGTGCCTCTTGCTGAAGATAATGTTGAGCCAGTAGATACTCCGAAAACCGAACATATTCAAGAAACAGAAGCATCACAAACTGTACAAGCTGCTGCACTAGAACCAGAGGCAGACAGCCCTCAAGCATTTGAAAAAGAGGTAATACCAAAGGAAGTTCAACCAGAAGAAGCAGCTAGAGATGAACCCAAAGAGGAACCAGTACCTCTTGTGGAAGGTAATGTTGAGTCTTTGGATGCTTCCAAAGACAAACATATTCAAGAGCCAGAAACATTACAGGCTGCCCCATTAAATTCAGAGGCAGACAGCTCTCAATTAACTCAAACAGAAGTAATATCAGGTGATGTTCCACCAGTAAAAACAGTTAGCGAGGAAGCCCAAGAGAAACCAGTGCCTCTTGCAGAAGGTAATGTTGAGTCAATTGATGCTTTCGAAATCAAACATATTCAAGAGCCAGAAACATTACAGGCTGCCACATTAAATTCAGAAGAAGGCAGCCCTGAATTACCTCAAAAAGAAGTAACATCAGAGGACGTTCCACCAGATGATATAGTT